TTTATGTAATGTAACAACAGTAAGCGAATTGGGCAAGGCATCAAATAGCTGTGTGGGACCAAATCCAAAACGTCGGATTGTACAACGGATTTGGACAGTGTTAATGCAGCATTTATCCACCCATCAAGCGATGCGATCACGCTATTTTTTCTGGACGATACCGTTCAAGTAGAGGCCGTCTCGAAAGAAGAAACTCTTGAACTTTTGCGTACCGTGAAAACCACGTGCAGTGTTGGTCCCGGTGGTCTTTCATCTTCCCTTCTGATATATGAGGCCTATTCTCTCAGTGAAATATTCACATCATTTTTGAACAATTCCTTAAAAATCCGCTCTATACCAGACTGTTGGAAACCAGTAACAATTGTTCCCACTCCCAAATCCTCTACTTCAAACGTTCTAACCAAACGATTTCGTTTCATTGCTTTCACCTCTGTTGGACTAGCAGAACGTGTTGTTCTTAAGCGTATTCAGTCCTCCACTGAAGACCTATATGATCCTATTTAGTTTGCTTATAAACCGAACAGAGGCAAGCTGGATGCAGTTTCCTGTTTTTACATAAAATTACCAAATCCTTGAATGACTCCGCGAAATCTGTTCGTTGTGTGTTTCTGGAATACTCATCTGCTTTTGATTCTATTCCTCAGTCCTTTATTCTTCATAAACAGGAGACCTCTGATTGTCCTAGACAGTTATAAGCTTGCCTATTCGATTACTTTTCTGGGGAGAACTCAGTGTACCATGTTAGGTCGGAAGAAATCCAAACCGTTGTTGAACAGCTATGGAGTACTCCAAAGTGCAGTTCTTTCCCCATACTTATTTTCTACGTATATTAGTGACTTGTCTGCTTGCGCCCCTACTTCTCTCTTCAAGTATGCTGACGATGTGGTCTTGTGTCAGGCCGTCTCTGACTCTTCCGGTCTTTCACAATTTTGTGATAAATTGGATAACGTCCGACGGTTTTCCGCCACATCGGGCCAATCTCTTAATCCCTCCAAATGTTTCAAATGTCTCTTAAAACTATCCCGCTCTTCTTTCCCATCTGAACCGGTATCGATTGGTTCCGCACCAGTATCCCGGGTAAACTGTATTAAATACCGGGGCGTTTTCATTGATACAGACCTTCACTGGACCTCTCACATTCAACACATCGTCAATAAGCTTCGACGACTTTCTTTTCATATCCGTAAACTTCATCAGTTTCGTATTCCACAATCAATTATTTCCAACTTTGTATACCAGTGTGTTTTCCCTGTTGTACTTTATTGCTCACCTGTTATTTTTCCCAACCTTCTTAAGAAAAATTTTGATTTGCTTCGACGTGGATTGACCATCATTAGCCCTGTCTCTTCAATCCCACTAAAGGAGTTGATAACTAACCTATGCGAACGTCATTTGAATGCATGTGAAAAGTTTGCGCATAAGATTCTCATCGACTCCACACATCCACTATACGCAGATCTAACTTCCTGTTGTTCCCATCCCTCAACTAGATCATAATATCGTTGTGTTTCATCTAGAATAAACATTTATGGTAACTCCACAGTACCCTCATTAGCACGTAGTCTTGTTAACAAAGAACAGATTTTCACAGACTTTGTTAACAGTTTTGGAACTTAAATCTCTTTTTTCATTGTTATTTTTTCTCCTTTGCTCCAAACTGTATATTTTTTCAACTGAAATGTGGGCTTCATGCTTGCAGAAGTTATT